CCCAACAAGCGGATTTTGACAAAACCCGTCGCTCGGAGAACAAAGAGCGCTCGCGTGAATAAACTTAACCCACGCATTCGGCAGCACCTACCTTCCTTTCGGATCATGAGCGCGCGGAGGCCGAAACTCGCTTTTTACTCGCCCTTTAATTTAATCGCAAAAGCCAAGCCGCGACGGACCACTATCGAGAGAACCCCATGCAAGATGACTCAGAGACGTAAACAGTCCTAGCGGCGCTGGCGCGCGAGTAATAATAATAAAAACAATAACAAAGAAACCATTTTTAAAAGATCTGACCGGAGGTGAGCGATGAATAGCGAGCGAGTGCGCCTTCGCGGCTTTTCCATGAGGGAAACGCGCGTGCACATACACACGCCCAACGTAACATTATAAACAGACACGCGCAGAAGCGAGAAAAATCCAAGGAAGAGATGTCGTCGTCATCTGGGCGCGCGAGACCCCCGCGTTTTAAGAAGAAGGAGGAGGAGAATCAGGACGCGCACTCAGCTGAGTGAGAAAAACAGAGGCGCGACAAAGAGAGCGTCGCAGCCGCCTGTCGCGCATCAATTTTCTTCCCGTCACTCGACCATTTTGCACAAGAAGCTTACGCGGGAGCAGGGCTGAAACTTGGTCGAGGTGACCTCGTCTACGGCATCTTTCCCATTTTCCACGCTCTTTTCCGTTTCCCTCTTGCTACCTATTACTCTCCCTCGCTCCCTCGCTCTCTCTCTCTCTCTCTCTCTCTCTCTCTCTGTATATATATATATATATATATATATATATATATATATATATATATATATATATATATATATATATATATATATATATACATTTATATTTATATTTATGGATACATAAATACATACATACGTAAATATAGTTATATACGCATATACGCATACGTATGCATATATAAATAAATATATATATATATATATATATATATATTACGCCCACATGCGCGCTCCTACATGTACGGACACACGTACGTGTGCACCGTCCTTGTCTCGCACCGCGGGCGCTTCGCTTTCTTTCGACTCCTGCTACGCACACACGCGCGCGCGCGCGCGAACCGCTGGCATCAGCACCAGCACCGCCACTGCCAACACAACCACCACCACCACCATCATCATCATCATTATCATCATCATCATTATCATCATCACGACCACGACCACCAACACCGCCACCGCCAACAGCATCATCACCATCACCATCATCACCCACCACCAACAGCATCACAACCGCCACCATTACCAGCACCACCATCATCATCATCATCATCATCATCATCACCAACATCGGCACCAACACTACCACCAACAGCACTGCTATTACTACTACTATACGACAGCGAGCCAACACCAACAACCGACTCTACCCACACCGCGAAAAGGATCGTATACATACGTGTCGCACGATCGTGTTGGTTCCGCTTGCTCCTGGCCAGTCGTCGAAATCCGGGGCCGCTTCTCTTACACTCTGGAAACCTATGAGTGCAGCTCGTTTCACAACACGCACAGTCGAAAAACAACCTCTCTTTCCTTCTTACTTTCTCGTTCTCGTTCTCGTTCTCTTTCTCTTTCTCTTTCTCTTTCTCTTTCTCTATCTCTAGCTCTAGCACTAGCTCTAGCTCTCGCTCCCTCTTCCTCTCCCGCTCTACCGATTAATCAACCTAACTCAACTATCTTTCCCTTTCTATTGCTACATGGGAGCACAAGCCAAAGCTACTACGATGTACACACGTACGCGTAGTATATACGTCCTGGATTCCACTTTTGGCACCGAGATTCCTTCCCTCGGCGTAACGCGACGTACGTATTACTACCAATCACCTCAGCACAAAAGCACACGCGCGCGACCGACACACGGTACTATTCATCGGTGGGGAGTAGCAGCGACACTCTCAGCAGCAATAGAGCAGCAGCAATAGCAACAGCACCAACAGCAGCAGGAGGAAAAGAAGGAGGAGGAGGAGAAGGATGAGAATTAGAAGGAAGAGATCGTCGTGATGATGACGGCGAAGGGACGGGCGGGGGAAGGTTAACGAGGAGGGGGTGGGGGGTCACCTTCCAACCTCCCGAAGGAGGCCGTAGATGTCGAGGATTATGGCCTCGGGGTTGCGTATGTACGTTACACAGCGATGCAACGCACACGCAAGCACGCATACATACATACACACACGCGCGCGCACACACACACACGTCCGTATTATCGAGAGGGGGACGGAGAGGGTGGGCGGGATAGGGGCTGAGGAGGGGAGTACACACACACGCGATGCTGAGGGACGCGCGGCCAGGGAGAAAAACTCGAGAGAACGCCACTCGTCGTCGGCGCAGCCAGGACCGATTTTTGCCGCGTGCGCGCTGCTGCTTGTCTGCCTGCCTACCTCTGTTCTGGGGGCCCCAACGAGTCTAGAGCTCTCGAGCCTCGGCTCTCTCTCCTCGAGCTTGGCTTTACTCTCTCCCTCTCTCCCTCCCTATCGTTCTCTCTCTCTCTCTTCCCCAGCACCGACTCTACCTATCTCCCCCTCCTCGTTGCTCGTTCCCCTTTTGCCGTGGACGCTGCCAACACCACCACCACCACTACCACCGCCACCGCCACTACCACCACCACCACCACTACCACCGCCACCGCCACCGCCACTACCACCACCACCGCCACCTCCACTACCACCACCACCGTTACCACCTCCTTTTACCCTCTCTGATCCCCCCTCCCCTCTCGCCGAGAAATAAGCAAGCCTCCCGTAGCGCTACCGTCTGGCCGTCGAACCTTTCCCTCGGCTAGGACGACATTCGCTCGGCCGCCATCGCAGGGAATCTCTCCGCCTTTCCCTCGCTCCTCACTCCGTCGTTTTCCCTTGAATGATATTCTCTCGCTCGCGCACAACAACAAACATGGCCGACCGCGGAGCACAGCAGCACCTTCCGCACACACACATGCACGCTAAAATTGTATTGTATGATAACGGCAGCGGGGCAGAGGTAAAGCGCTACCAACTGACCACGTTAGGGGGCGCCTAAAGCTACTTCCCGCTACGCGCCCTACACACGCTCGTACATTCACACACGTGCTCTCTCTCTCTCTCTCTCTCCTCCGTTCTGGTCATGGAGTCTGTTCTCGGATTTTGGACTCCTCTGTGTCGCCCACCGTTCTCCCTACCCACCAACCACTCAGCAGCTTCGTTCTACCGCGCGAGCGAAACAACGTAACGTAACATATTTGACAAGTCCCTTGTAATGCATCCTATCCACGAATATAGTCTATCTATTATTTTGCATATTAGGACATTAGGACGCTATTACTTTCTCCGAATAACGTATTCAAATTCGGCCAATGGAAATAATCGCTTTTTAAGCAGCACGACGCATCGATAGCGCATAGTGGCTTAAATCGTAAAAGTCACCATCTCATCCTAATGACCTTTCAACGTCACTGTTTATTATGTCTCTTTTCTTTCCAAGCTACTCTCTCTCTCTCTCCTCTCTCTCTCTCCTCTCTCTCTCTCTCTCTCTCTCCTCAATCTCTCTCTCTCGCTCTCCCGCTCTCTCGCTCTCTCACTCTCCCGCTCTCTCTTATCGCGCGAGTAATCAATCGGAACTTGGGCCAACGCCACGCTGTTTATTAATTAATGTTTATTATTGATAAATTAGATAGAAATTTGAGAAAATTTTGCATTTGCCATCCATCTATTTCAATCGGCGTCGATGATAAATATTATTGCTACGTAAATTTTATTATTAACTTTTAAACATACAGACGTGGATGCGCGTTATACATTTCATTCTTCAATACTTACATATAAGCACATACGTCGAGTGCTACTATATTTGTAAAATATTAAAATATCTATAATAGTATTAAAGATTTTTTTATGTCTTTTGTGTCGGATCACCATACTCATGTTATCCCATGAATGTTAATGTGTCTTCTTGTTTTGCTTGTTGCATTTTTATACATTTATAAATATTTGAAGTTTTAAATGTAATGTAAATGTAATTATAAATTAAATACTTCAAGTTTAGCATTCATTAAAATCATTAATTGTAATAATTAAATACGTATTTTGCTATTCTATCATTTAATAGAACCGTAACATTGGCATTCAAATTTATTGCCTGGTATTTAATTCTCGCTTCTCGTCTTCGACATTATTTTAAAGAAAAAATAGATTATAAATGTTATATTGCCTTTTAGTTAATAAAAAAATCATTTAAACTTAATAAAATTAGAAATTGGATAGAATGCTAATAAGCCATTCTTTATTAAATTTCATTAATATTTTGTTATTTTATTAAATTAATAGATTTTCAATTATGCTTACAATCAATTATAGAATATGTCTATAATAATGTCTAAAATATGTCTAAATGTCGAATAATGTCTAAAATAATGTATAATATGAAAGTTGTTAGATATAAATTGCAGATAAATACCGGTATATGCTGAACTGACAAATTTGCGTGGCTAAGGAACGCGCGTTGCTATCGATAAGGCAGAATGTGATAACCTACAGCTTATATACACCCATATATATATATATATATATATAAATAATTAGAATAGTTGCGTAAATTTAAATTCATTACGGGCTTGTATTTTGATTTTTCAAAACGAGCCCAATATTCTGCCGAACTTATTCCATAAAAAGCCGCAGAATTGCAAACGAGCGGAATGAAACTTACTTTGATGAAACTTCTTTTGATTTCACTCGAATGAAATAATTGAAAATTTCTGTATATTGGCATCCCAGATTCTAAAATGAAGAGAGAGAGAGAGAGAGAGAGAGAGAGAGCTCTGTGCCAACGACGGAAAAAATTTTTTAACTTATTTGAAAAAATGACGAAGAAAAAGGATGGTGGTGAACGACGAAGAGGTGGTGGCGGCGGTTGCGGGGACGGCGGAGGAGGAGGAGGATGAGGATGAAGAGGTGGTGGCGGATGAGGAGGAGAAGGAGGAAGAGGACGAAAGAAACATTATATTATGATGTAAGTAAAGAAACAGTGGCCTGGGGAGCTTCGAGTACTCGTACGTGCGTGAAATAAACTTGGGAAAAGCCCCGGAGAGCGGCAAAGTAGTTTGTTATTGTGACGCGCGTTATGTTGGACTCGCGCTGGCGAGCAAACGATATAACACGTTGTATCGCCACTCTCCTTCCTCATCGACATCACTCCGGCGTTTTTCTAAAGCTACGGAGCGCGCGTCCGTGTCCAATGCGTTGGCTGTATGCGTGAGTGCGCGAACGCCTTAGCAAAGGATGGTCAGAGGTAGGTATCGCCACGCCACGGGGGGACGTCACCTTTATTAATTTGCTGCCACAGCTTTTAGCCAGGAGTGCGCGGCCGAAAGGAAACAATAATAACGCTTCGACCACGCCGCTAATAACGTGTCCAAGACATCCGATAGGCTGACAAAATGGTACTTATACGATCTTCCTATCCTGAGATTAAACTCCTTCTTCCGAACTATGTTTTGTTTAGCGTATTTTGAATGAACTGAGGGGGAGAGAGATAGAGATAGAGAGAGAGAGAGAGAGAGAGAGAGAATAAAGTGAGATAAAGAGTGAGAAAGCAAATGAGATTTGTTAGTGCAGTGGGTTGTAACAGCACGTTCAGGGCCAATAGGCAGATCTTTCAAATTAAATCCTGAAATGAACAAGTACCTTCTTTTTATATAATTTCTTCTAATGCTTTATTGTACGATACGTTGATCGATTATTTTTATCGACTCTTGCTCATGGTATTGTTTATGATAATTCGTTTTGTCATTCATTCAATTACGTTTAACATTCTACACATTTTGGTTCAAAAGAAAACTTTATTTTTTTTGCCTTAATTTCAATCGTATATTATAAACATTTTTTGTTTTCAACGACAAATCAATAAGGTAATTTATACCAGTCGCATATAAACATAGATATCATTTTTTTCATTTTTTTTACAACTGACATATGTTGTTTTTACGGAGACTTATTAGTACTTATAAACTAAAATCTCCTATGCACAATTCAGCCATAAAGTATTATCGATCGATTGTCAAATGACCAAACAAACTGTAATTATTATGTATCTTACAACTAGATTAATATCATGTTTTATTAATTGTAATTCTTTTATTTTAGACTTCTAATAATATGTGCGATATCAAAGATGACGTTAAGGATGCATTGAAAGAATTTACATTTAGAAAAAGTGAAAAAAATGCTGCTCTTTTATGTAATTTATAAACATTTTATAATTATAAGTATATCGTTAAACCAAGCATATCATAATTGAAAGTATTTAATAAATTTACAGTGAAAATTGACAAAGAAAAACAAAAAATTTGCGTGGATGAATTGATAGAGGTGAGCGTTTACTTCCATATAAAATAAAAAGCTTCTTTTTCTCTTTTATACTTTCAATACCTAAAAAGTACTATTTTATTAGAATGTTCAAGTAGAAGAGCTGCAGGACATAATTCCAGAACACGAACCGCGCTACATTATTTACAGTTATAAAATGGAGCACTCGGATGGTAGAATATCATATCCCATGTGTTTTATATTTTATACTCCAAGGGATATTCAAATGGAGTTACAAATACTCTATGCCGGAATGAAATTAGTATTGCAAAGAGAAGCACGTCTTACTAGAGTTTATGAAGTACGTGAATTGGAAGAGTTGACGGAAGATTGGCTCAAAGAAAAATTAAGCAGGTAGAAGATTGTGATTCTTAGATTAAGTTTTTTTACTCCTATTAACACATGCGTATTTTATTCGAAATTTTTTTTTTTATATTTTATTGCTCTACAAGTACTTTGAAGTATTGATATGGTTATTGACAATACTCCATGTTTAAGAAATTAGATTTTACAATATTTATATAACTTTAGTAATATATTTAATGCAAAATTTGTATGGATGAAATTCAATATTAATTACAGAAAATAAGCCATTTGATAAAATATATATGCGTTTATAACTTTTTTTTATAAAATTGTGCATGCCATTATATATGCAACATTACTATACTAGTCAACATAGTGAAAGACAATAGTAGGCTTAAAGCACTTAACCAAAATATCAATTGGAAAACAAAGACACAAAAAGTGAGTTTTTACTATCAAGAGATTTAATGTATGAAAATATAGCTCCTACATATAGTGTTATTGTGTATATATATATATATATATATATATATATATATATATATAATTATATATATATATATGTTCTTTTTTCAAACCATGACTCTAATATTACGTTTTAATCGTTCGACGTTTCGATACTTTTTCTACATTGGGCATTATTACGTTTAAGTAACGTATGGAAAACGTTTGTAATCCGGTATTCGGTTTTCAAAAGTGGCTCGTAGCTAATTTTTATATAAATTAAAAATCATTAATTAATTTTTAGCACTCCCAAACAAATTTATTACTTTTAGTTATTTTAATGTGTATATTATTAAAATTATTTATATTTACTATTTAATTTACGACTTTAATCTGCAAATACCATAGTTTATATAATTTTAAATTGAGGTAATGTGTTGAATATCAATCAATGTCTAAGAAAAAAAGCATTTTGTTCGATCTCTCATTCTGTAATACAAGCATTAATATATCTTGTGAACTAATGGAATATTATGTCTCATAAATATTAAGTAATTACAATATCATTGTTTTTAAAAAGGAGAATTTTTTAAAGATTTAAGTTTTAAGATTTTAAAACACATTAGGAAAATATTAATGTAAAAGAAATATAATAAATAAGACGTACCAATGATATTTACAAATATAGCATAAACATTATCAGTTTGTGGGAAAAAAAAAAAAAAAAACACTGTTTATTTTATTACCCTCATTGGTAACACAAAGATGAGATCAATGGTAATATTTATATTTTAATGAATCAATGAACTAATCATTCTGAAATAAATCAAATAACATTAATAAAATTTGACTTTATATTTTTATAAAATTAAAGAGATACATCAATAAGACTCAGTGTCTTTTTCATTATTTATACCGTGTGATATTAGTTTTTTGTTTTATACAAGACCTATTAAACAACAAAGTTTAGCTTCAAAAGCTTGGTTAATTTGCAAAAGAAGAATTGTAAATCAAATATTGAGTATTGAAAATGATTTTTTACGATCAAGTACTTAAAAATTTGATAATAATTTAGTCCAATAAAAAAGTACTGAATTTGAATCGTGTATCTCAAATTAAATAAACTAAACAAACTTCTTACCCGTATAAATAATAAAAAAATGAAAGAAGATAAAATGCTAGTTTAACCCATCCCTCTCGTTGACATGTATTTAAATCATGCAGATTCATTATACTCGTAGGATCATATAAGCCTGTTCTTGCCATTACAGGCCTATTTCGATACCTATTTATATGGTAAGCAATAAGTGGAACATTGAGAATTAATGACATCCATTCCCCGGTAATCAGAAATAATAAATTTATAAAAATATGTATACCATATTCTGGAAGTACTAACTAAAACAAAAGAATTAATAACAATTATAATTTTTTACTTGTATAAAATTAAATGCTTAAGAAAAACTTACTGGATTTAAACTATTACAATGATCGATAGGATTTTTGAATTCCGTTTTAAGCTCGTCAAAAGCTATAACCTGGAAATTATAAGAAAATTCTAATTTAACGAAACCTTCAAAAACTGCAACACCTTACATTTTAGAGAATTTTATAAATATATATATATATATATATATATATATATATATGCATAATCATACAATGAGAATGCAATTCGAACGAATTTCTCGCGCGAGGTTATGTGATTGAAAAAAAAAAAAAAAAAAATTATTGAAATACCATTCTCACTGCATAATTTATGTTAAAATTATTATTAATTTTACAAAAAACATTTCTAACATACGTGGAAGATGGCAAAAAATATAAGAATAGCGTCAACAATTAATGCAACAACATAAGAAAACGCGGGTAAGCTAAACGCCATTTTTTACGAAGTGAAAATATTGAACGGACAACAAATGCGCCGTCATTGCTGTTTGGCCGATGTCACATTTCAAATTTAACTCTGAGTCACGATACATCTATATTTTAAATAATTTATAAGCATGGATGGATGGTATTTAAGGATTATGCAGCTGCATGCTCATTAAAATCTTATGAATTTAATGATAGTCTGAAAATTATACAATTTTGGAAAATAAATAGTCGTTGCTTGTGCTCTAATATTTATAATACATAATCAATTTCTTGTTATGGCTTCCCTATGAAATATGTTCCAATTATTTATTTTAAATTTTACCTTTCACAAGAAATTTACATCTCGTTAAGAATATCACAGTTTTCCGTGATATTTATATAAATACGTGTTTGTTTGATTCATTATTACATAAAATACAAATATATGTGGTATAAAATGAAATGAAATATAAAATTTAAAATTACTTATTGATTTATAAATATAAATTTGTACATTGAGTATACATTAAATATAAAGTACTACAGATAAAAATACCTTTAGATTTCTTTGTTTTTCGTTTGTATAGAAACGAAGCGACGAAATATGACTTTAATATAGTTATTATTACAGCAATCACATTTTATATTATATTTTCTCACATTTGCATATAATTGAAAATTCTTGTACAGTATTATTAGATCTACTTTTTCTACAAATTTTAAGATTATCATTAGCTAAATTATTTCAGTCGATATATGTTTAAAAAATATATAATCTATGCAAATGTAATTTTTGAAAACTAATTCTAGACTAACGCATATGTGCAAGCAATGATATTTTCAATATCAATGGCAGCTTCGATATGTGGGTCTCAAACTCAAACACAACGCACTTAGTTAATAAAGCATTACATGGATCGAGTGATGCTGCTACTATAATTATGCTCCGAATCAAATCTGTTCTGACTATCGTCGAGAAAATTATTCCACCTCAAATTATAATTACTGCTGCTCTCCCATTTTGGCCTAAATATTTTTTGAACGTCGGTATAAGTAATATCTAAATCTTTAAAAGCATTCAACAAAAATATTGCAATTATTATAGTGAAAAATCCGCAAAAGCAACCTACGATGTCTTCCGTCTTCATCGACTCCCATTCCTTAAATAATATAGCTGATGCGGTTAGTACAAACGTTGTAAAAAATACATAATAAATTGGCGTTACAATACTGGTATTAAATAAGTCCAATGATTTATTAAGATAGTTCATTTGAATCATAATGCACAGAATAAGCAAAAATAATAAAATCCATGTAAGACCATTTCCCATTTCACTTTTACCATTCATCGTTTCTTTTATTGCTATTCCAAGGCCTTTACAACTCATAACCGTTAAAGAGCCGATCGATGAACACAAGAGAATGTAAATTATGACATTTCGCTTGCCAGACATTGGACCAAAATAAAAAACAACCGACAGACAACCAATTATTATAAAACCTAAATAAATTATAAATGAAGGATCTTGTAACTTAAATAAAAAATCATCCATCGTTTCTATTTGTTCTTGTTTCGGAGCATGAAGGACTATAACCGTTGATCCTAAGATGGATAATAGACAACCAATCTAGAATAAGAAATTTCTTTACGTATTAAAATTATAAATTATACGGTAATCAATATTATTCTTAAATATCTTTTGCAAAATGTGATGACATATATATGTAACGTTTCGCTCGAGTCGTAGTATTTTAAATGCAATACATATACATATATTTACCTTTCCTAATAAATTTAAATTTTCATTTAAATAATTCGATGCCAGTATTTCCGATACTAAAACACTGAGCACACCCAGTGGTGTAACCAATGTCACAGGTGCAAGTGTGTACGCAGCAAAATTGGTTGCCTCTCCAATACCCACTAAATATTAAAAAATACATTACACGCAACATATTAAAATATTATTACAATAATTTGAGAATAAAATTTCAACAAACTTGACAATAAACCAGCCCACCATATCAACTCTTTTAAATAACCGAATCCACCCGCACCAGCTCTAAGTCCTCCATATTTCTGTAATCGAATTAAAGCCTTCTTTTTTATAATAAAACTCGCACCTGTAGGAAATAAAATAAAATTAATTAGATAAAAATTCATTACAACAAACATAAATTATCACGCGTTAAATGTATTAAATAGCATTTATCCACTATTTTATTATCAAAATTGCTTGTTACTGACCAATAAAACCACTAGAAAGAATAGCCAGAGTAAGTCCCAAATAAAACTTCTTTAATTGTGTCGTATGTATTAAATAGTCTGCTGAATCTTCTCTCCACAAACTCATATTTTTATCATATACCTATCTTATTAATGCAAATTTATATTTTAATTGTCAATGCTATTTGTCAATTTATTGAATAATAATTCCAACATAACCAAAATCTACGAGCTCGCGACAACAATGTAAACAATGCAAATCTATCAGCCGCGAAAGCTTTACAACTTTTCTCTTTGTTCCCGCCACTGATGCCAATACCGAATGAACACAAAAAATCTACCAAAAAGCTACATCGATTCTGCGCACGATAGAGACAACGAATTCATTGGTTCGTAAATTCGCGCTGATTATAAATTATATGTAAATGTAAAGCATTGCACAGCGGGAAATAAATTGGATAAATTAGCGCAAGTTTTAATCAACTCGAAGGCCACTCATCAGCACATTGTCGTAAATATTACCAGCTGGTTAAGCCCCACTCCATCTTATCAGCAAACTTCCAAGCAGAAAGCAATATAGTATTTAACAATCGAGATTCGGGAGTCTTTAAAGCAGACATGATCCTCTCTCGATAATTATCAATCAAGTAGTTAACTCACCTAAGTAGTCGTGATGCAATGTAAATAGGTAAACATTTGCGCATTCCGAAAGCGTAATTCTTTTTAACGAATAAAGAAAAATTGGCGATCGTTGTGTACACAATAATTTGAAAGAGACATGTACGTTGGTCTAAACATTTTTAACTCAAGGCTTAGCAATGGTACCGATAATATGGAATACATCCGACTGGTTTTACATCGAATACTAAATTAAAGGTAATGATCGTCTACATCGGTTACCAAAGCTGAACACTATGACTATGGCTAACACTTGAATGGACCATTGACACATGCACTCCTTCCTCCTTCTACTTACCTCTGGCACTTGTTACCTCATACATATATAGCGCCACATATCGTTCACTTTGGTTTGATTCATCACGATTCCCTATATTCTTAAAATCGTGAAGATCGGTCTCTCTCGTCTACTGGGCTTGGATGTATTTAATTCTGATTTTATTCCAATTTCTCTCATGGACGAGAATAAAAGACGAGAGAAGTGTGTCGTTTATTTATCATAGAGTATAAATTAAAAAAAATTTTAATTTACCTTTCTCAGCATTGACATAATTGAATTTGTGTCTATAACAAAGCAATATTACAATATTATTCAACAATAATACTAATGTAAAATAAATAAAATTAAAGTATTGTTATTTATTTTATACTCAATAATAATGTAATTCAATATTTTAATTAAATATTCTTGTTTAATGTAATTGATTGTTCATTCACATTACACATTCATTTATTATGAAATTCATTGTCTCGATTTACAGATATTGATTAATCTTATTCACTAGTTCTTTGTATAAGATACTTGTTTTAAATAAAAATTTGTTTAATATAACATTAATAGTCAATAACATATATTAATTAATATGTCCTATTCCTTCCTCCGATTCCTTTAAATTTAGAATTTTCACAATACACGAATTTATATTTTATCATGCTAACAAACTTGCAAAACTATGTATAACGTATAATTTATAATAAGCAAGTTATAGAATTTTATAAATAAATAAAAAATGATAATAAAAACAGGATAAAATGACTTTATTTTTAAAATCTCTTTTGTATATAATTATGCTGTGTGACGAAACAGTAAATGGATTGTAAATTTTTTCTTACTCGATGGTTACAATTTTTTAAATATTGTATAACAAAGTTAAGAGCCGATTTAAACAATCGAATTCTATATGCAATAATTTATATTTAAAAAATAAACATGATTTTTATGTCTAGAATATAACTAATATTTTACATTTATAATGTCATTATTAGGTAATAATATGAATTTAGCTTTGAACGAAACACGCTGTAATGAATGCAAAATTGTGCATAAACGGAATATAATGAAACTGTAAAGTTAGATGAACAAGTGAGGATTAATACCGGAAAAAATTCAAGATTCTCTTAAATTTTTACTTACATCACGGCAACTATTACCTAATAAATGTAAAATTCTAATCAATGATAATAATGATAAATTAAATAAATACTATTTGACCTCGTATATATAATTTTACTAGGAACGAAGCTGTAAATTTGCAAGGTGCTGTTGTACGCAATCCTTTTTTGCATGAGATGAAAATATTTTCATAATAATGAAAACAGTGACTACATCATACAGTTGTTTATTAAAATTTACATATATTTTATTTTAATCTTTGCTTTAATCTTTATATCCAGTAGTTTTTAATGAAAAACACTACTTAATTTCCTACTTGTGAGTTTTTTTAATTCGTGCTTACTTTTCTCTTCAAAATTCATAATATACACAAGTGTTTAACCAATGAAACTCATTGACATTCTGCGCATGCTCAAAGGATCACATCCATGTTTAGATAACGTGTATTTACATTACACTATTGCCGAATTTCCAGAAAAACATTGTCCATTATTCGCGAATTGCAATACTTAGCTTGTGGAATTACTACAAAAGTGAAATAATATTGTTATCGAAGATGAAATTTTAAAGTACAGAAGAAATATTAGGTATTGTTAATTATTATATCCTTATAAAAATATTACATTATATATTAATAACATTGTTCCCTCTAATTTGTTTATAGTAAATGTTTTACATTTGCTTGTCGAAATAATCACAAATTTGGTCATTTTTTCTAAACAAATAAGCAGCAAATATGACAGTAATGGACTTCTTTGGGTGTGCTTTGTTGGCCTTTGGTCCACCACTGGCAATGTTTACTTTTACTATAGCAATTGAGCCTATTCGAATCATCACATTAATTGCCAGTGCATTTTTCTGGCTTATTTCATTACTTTTATCATCGATAGTATGGTATACAATTATTCCTTTACAAGGTTACTTGTCGATTGGACTTATTTATTCAGTATTTTTTCAAGAAATTTTCAGGTAAGTTAGAACGTTTATTTCTTCTTTTAATTAATCCCGATTGTCCCTAATTGATAATTATTTACTAATCGTTATTGCCTTTGAATGTGAATTTATCTGTATTATAATAGAGAAGATAAGTTGTATAAAAGAATAAGTTTTTATTGTAGACGTCATTTATCTATGACAAAAATTAAGTACAAACATTATTCTAAGAAATAGCTTACTGTTATATTTAAGAATAGGAATAATTATTTTTAATTTTATTCGTTAGAAGACAAAGAATGAAAGTGGATTAATGTCGTATTAAATTCATTTATTTTTCTAATAAGTTTGCCATTGAAATGTGTATTTGTAAATGTCAAGTGAAATAATTCGATAAATTTTGCATTGATATCTTGTAAGTTTTAGTTTGTTTGTTTTTTTTTTTTTTGCCAGCAAACATTTGAAGTATTGTATTCACGCATTGTTTTGTTATTTGAAAAAACTGTTAAATTTATTTTTAATATGTAAATATATTTTGAAATTTGTTTTAGATTTTTGCTGTATAAAGTATTACGAAAAACTGAAAAAGGCTTAGAAAAGCTTACGACTGCTCATGTCGCCGACAGTAGAGATGTTTTTGCATATGTTTGTGGTTTAGGATTTGGTCTTATGAGCGGTGCATTTGCCTTAACCAATGTATTGGCCGATGCAATGGGTCCTGGAACTATGGGTTTACATCAAGGCAACGAATACTTCTTTTTAGTATCAGCAGCGACGACGCTGTGTTTCATTTTACTTCATACTTTCTGGGGAGTTATATTCTTCTCAGCTCTGGATAACAGGAACTGGTTTCAAATAGCTTGGGTGATTGGCTCGCATATGTTTGCTTCCTGCATGACTTTACTTAATAGTTACGATCATCATGCAGCGAGCTTGTTTTCCGTATATGGTATTTTATTAGTTACAACGGCGGTTGCTTTCAACGTAGCCGGTGGTAGAGTACAGAATTTATTACAATGCTTTATTAAGCAGTGATGAAGAAGATTTTTACATCTTTAAACGAGTACCGAATAACTATTTCATGTTATAAATGTTTTAAATAATTAAATCACAAGAATAAAAATACAATTCAATCGCGATTTAAACAAATATAAATTGATTAAAGACTTAGGTATTTGAGTATATTATAAAAGTCAAAAGTTTAAAGTGGATATTAAGAATCGTTTATAATCAATGAATTTTCATGGTTTGGAGCAAAAGAAAAATTGATCGTTTGTGAAAACGGGCATTGTTGGTTAAGTGTCAACGATAAATTTAGAAATAACTTTTATGCTAATTAATAGCATAATGACTGTAATTAAGATTTTAATTCTTATTTGTGAAAAGTATTTTCAATAACTACTATTTTGCAAGATTTTTTTTTTCTTTTATCAACATTAAAATTATAATGTAAAATGTTTACAATGTAAACTAATTTTTAATAGAAAATACATGTATAGATAATAAAGTGCTTAAATTTTTTAAAGAAATGTGATTGCTAAATTATTAGATGTTATCTCGTTTTTTAAAACTTGTACAATTTAAGGAGGTAAGCACTTTAAAGCTGAAAAATGAGACAAAGTTTTGGAATACAAGATCTAATTAATAAATTTTACACAAGTTGAAATGTATAAAAATTTTGTTAATTTAATGAAAAATAATCTCGAATAAATATAAATATTTTATTTACAAAAAATGCATTAACTGTATAAATGTAATAATGTAATATTGCTCTTCTATTTAAAATCTTTTTTTAATGGCTGCTTTTTAATTTTTAAGCTCAAGATATATATATATATATATATATATATATATATATAAATTAGATAAACAAAATTAACTTAAAGAAACTTGTAATCCATTATTTCGTTTGAAACAAATATCTGACAAAATGTCTTTTATTTTCTTGATTTTCTTGTATTCGCTCAATTCATTGTTCATTCATATTCTTTTCATTTCTTATAAAATAATAATAATATCATTTTTATACAAATATTGATACGGCTACTTTTATTTATAAATCCTGTTCGTTAGATCCTGTTTGTTAAATAGACATTTCTCCGGATGGATCGTTGATGACAAATAAATTACAATATATTGCTTCTTTCCATCCCTTAAACATTCCGTTTTTACATTTTTTTTTTTTTTTATAATACTTGAGTTTAAATTTGTCTGTACTTACTAATTCCTAACAAATATTTTCCCAATTAGTTTATGAAGAAATTACGTGTTTTCGTAAAAAATAAAAAAAATTAATAAATAAAAACAAGAAAAAATTGAATCGAAGTGCCTCTCAGTACAAAACCTTCACCCAATTTTATTTGTCATTAGCAAAACGTTATTTTTAGGAGCTCGTGAGAGATGCCATGAGTAATTCCATTTTATTTAAAAAATTTTTCCCCTCCATTTTATCCCATCTAACTTCCTTGAACGAACCACCAAGATTCTCCCACTTCCTTTCTTTCACCAATTGACCAGGAAAGAAGTCTTTTCTGGGAGAATGAGCTATGGAAACCTGAATTCCAGTTTGTGGCTCGCATCTTACAGCTATCATTCTAAAACATGCACAGGCAATGTATTACCAATGTTCCACGTTCAACCAATAATATCATTATGAAAATGATTATTAATTAGTTTATTCACCTGTCGCCGATCGGAGATGCCAATATACAACTACTAGCATTTCCCAAAGGTTCAACAGCACCAAGGCCAAGATGCGAGCTATTCGCTAAAAATTGCCAGCCCATGCATTTCGCTAAACCTTGTACCGCATTAATCTGATGCTGATAAATCTGCAAATTATGATTAATTATTTAAAGAAGGAGAAAAAAAGTATTTTAATCGGCAAGAAATAGGCTTTTTAACATACTTGACAAAATATAAGATCTCGCAATTCTTGCGGCTCGTAGCTCATGTACATAACTCTGCCATCTTTACAAACGCATCTTAATGATTTTTCGCTAACGTGCAAAATCATGGAAGTTCGAATCAACTGATCATAACCGTGCGTTAAAATAATAATTCTAACACTGGACTGAGTCGGTGAATTTAGTGCATTCCAATGCGAAACGATTAGCGGATCCTTAACTTCCTTGGCGATAGTATCTAATACGTATTCCGTTCGTAGTCTCATGAAGAAGTGCTGGGCTTGTTGAATGATTTGTTCCAATAGAGTTTGACTCTTGGTCATTTCGATCAATTCGTGCCGATCCACCGCCGTTGGGCCGGCTATACATCTCCGTTTACTTGGTCCCAGCGGCCCTGACGATGGATGAGGATAAGGATGATGCGTATTTTTGTGATGAACTTCCCTCAACAGTTGATGTAATGAATGTTCGAGCACGTGATCGTGATCGGTATTTTGTGGTACCGGTTTCTTATCATGACCGGTACTATGTCGTAGAATAATTATAAGTTGAATACCTGGAAGTACCTACGTAACGAATAGATTTCCATCACTCTCATTTATGAGCTGAGTTTAATTATTATTAATAGTTTTGCAATTTAAATAATGAATACGTTACCGTAGCCATTATTCGATTTCCTACAACCATGTGTGGTATAGGCGCCCTCAAGTGCACTGCCTCTCTCGCTAATTGACTAAAAAGTTCTTTACAAAATAAAACATTTTGGGCAGCTTCTAATTTCTGCTGCCAATGCGTATCCGGATCAAGTTTGTTACCTGAGCCACTGTTGAGCCAATTGATATTAGCACTGCAAAGTGCTTCTTGATCTGAAAGTATTGGTTAAGCTAAGTATATTAAGGAAATTACAAGTACAGATGCATTTTTGATAATTTAGAATGATAATGTAGACATTCACCTTTTTTACACAATACTTCGATATAAGCAATCCCTTCGAGTTCACTAGGTATAGTAACGCGCAATGCAGAAGCATTTTTATTAGTTGAAGAGGACGATGGGGTAGGGATATTAGGATTTGGGGAGACGGGCGGACTAGTGCTACTTTTCTCTTCTTCTTCTGCTTTTGTTATCTCAAACATTCCCGTTTGATTGTACTTTGAACCAGCTGTGCGATAACTTAAATCTCCTATGATAGAATTTGAGACTTTTTTTAATCGCCAATTTTGGCGTAGTCTCAATAATTCAATATGGAAGTCAGGAGTCGTGCGCGTTCTGGCCAATTCATTTTGACAGTTCTTCATTCGATCGGCGCTCATAATCAGAACCGACGCTGCACCGGCTAATGCCTTTTTCCTGGCGTGAACTTGAACCAATGGCTTTACTTCTATGCTATCCTGTGGGACTGGGTCAAGTACCATGTATCTTTTTTCCTTGGCAACTGCGAGCACGTCGGCCAATACACAGACTTCGGTTAAGGCATTTCTGCGCAAAAATTGTACCCATTATTGAGAATTCATCGAGTTGTAAGATCTTGCTCATTGGTTATTCGTCGAACCTCGACGACTAAAATTATCCTTATTTAAATTAAATTAAATTAAATGGAGGTACCTTAATTTATTTCTAACACTATCCCACGGCCATAGGGATGATTGAAAATTTGCAGGATCCTTAGTATCTTCTTCGCTTTTTTCTCCATTCTCCTGCTCTTTGTTAACGTCCTCTCCGTTTGTTTTGGTGAAATCAATTTTCTGGGCTATTTTCGCTAAATTTTCCGATAGCGTAAGTGGCCTGAAAATTACATAATTTAATCAAATCAGTATTGCAATAAAATATTCTCGTACCTTGTGCTTGGTTAAAAAACTAATAAATAAACAAAGCTTCAAATGATTCATTACAGCACAGGTTGACGAAAAATTGCCAAATAATAATTGTAAATGCCGATACTTTTAAGCCATATCGGTTAAAATCAATGCGCCGTAGAGTACATTTTTACTTAAAAAATCTAAATAATTATAAAATTTTTTTAGGTTATCCTCGAAATGCTAAGCACATTACTTCCCGGCAATACTGAATAAAACAGTGCCGCTAATTACTCGAAATCGTCACTCATAGACAAAATATACTCACGCTTGATAAATTTCCTGCCCATCGTAAGTAATTTCTTGTATTTGATTTTCAATCGGTGCCTCGACGGAGACGTTGACAGAATACGCCATTCTTGTTTGCGCGACTGGTGCTGCCAGAGTCGTGTTTACTTAAAATTGCATGCACAGCATAAAGTGCGCAAGGCCACATCATTGACCTACAGTGCTTTTAGCCCTTGATAATTAGAATTAATATTGACGAGGGCGACGAGCTTGTATAGGCATTTCCATCGATGAAGAGAAGTTGCGTAATATTCTGTTGCGTAGGTAAGAAAGTACAAACGATTGGTGATCGGCAAACGTTCGCGGGATGTTATTCCCGATCGAAGGAAAGTCTCTAACGATGCTCGCAATATTAATGATCGTTTGTAGGTTCCTTCCTCTTGGGAATTGTCGAGGTATTTTCATAAGCGCATATCATGAAGTTATATTAGAAATGTCGTTTGCTAGTCCTTTGCTCGATTATTAATCTACTCGATATTGTTAAGCTACTTTAATTGTGAATGTTTGCGCGAGCTGCGATCGTGTGTTGTTAATAATGAAATTAATAAAGAAAGGCAGTTCGGTAAATATTGACATTGAATTAGATTAGATTCGATAATATGTGTGTATAGAAAACGATGGGTGGCTCACTTTCGATTTCGAAACGTATCGATGGGCTATTATTAGTATGAATAAAGTGTCGAAAAGAAATCGTTTGGGGCAGTAATGGGCAGTTTAAAGTCAATAAAAGTCATTTGATTTTTATGAATCTACGAAGGTACAATAAAAGAGATAACTTGGACGATTAGTTTGTCAGTGCGTCGCACTTTACAGGAATTTAGTCATATATAATATGTCATATATACACTAACGTTTCCTGTTATCGTTACTTGTAATTTAATTCACGAGAATAATTTGCCCATTGCGCCGTACATTTAAAAAACAAAAAACAAATGGCTTCTTATTTTACAATAATTTTTATTGTAAGATTGATGTGAGCCACGCGAGCTTAATGCATTATTTATCCTCGTCATTGATAAATAATAATTGTTAAATGATAAAGCACAAATAATAATGAAAATAAACAATTTTCATCGGCAATAGAAAGAATAAAGAATCTTGCCAATGTAATGAAGCAGCAATGATATCTTAAAAATAACGATGTAAGTAGGATATAATGAACATTGAAATTATATTATGAATTACTTTATAAGTAAAAAAATAATAGAACGAACGCACGGGACAATAATTTATGTTAATTGCTTGTTATTTTTATTTGAAAATGTAGACGGAATATCAACTAAACGCAAAGAAAACAAGAAACATATGGTAATTCGAATGCTTTGACGAATTACGAATTCACGCTTCCCTTCGCCTATTGTTTCTTTACTCTTTCTTTTTCTTTATCTTTTTCTTTGTTTTTTTTTTTTTTTTTTTTTTTTTTTTTTTTTTTTATCAATTCATTAGATAATCCAGCTATCGACAGTCGTGCACTATCATTGTATTAATATTGTCATTATATGTTATAATGGTAAAAGCATAATTTTCTAATGACTTTTCATTTATAATGTGTAAAACTGTTCCATTATTGATAATGTTGTTAACGATGTGAAAGCTTAAAGTTATTTTATTTAATTAAACATGATACTTTCTAATTAAGCAAGACGCAGTTTTATCATTTCTTTCGCTAATATCGCCTTCAACGCCATAAATCCAAATGATTATAATAGTCAAAGCAAACACGGCCCACCCATCATCAATCACTGAATGACGAAATAAAAGGGGGAACGACATTTTTCACTTTCCAACGCCATTAGCTGCATTACAAGATCAATCGCATCAACTATCGAACTTAATAAACAACTCAATAAAAAATTTCGATATACTTTATTCGTCTTCGTTCGCTTCTTCGCGTCGCTTCAATGCTTAAATGCAATTAATCAATCCATAATTCCAACGATTAACGGCATAATCTTCTTACAATATTACTATCAATGTCTGCGATTATTGGACATTGAATCGGATTACCAGATCTCTGTCAGAAATTAATCTCTTTCACCTCACCAGCTTGCATATTGCAAATATCGCGGGGGAGTATAGCGAACGATTCTCAAGCCCACACCAGCATACATTACAGTATAGCTTAGTCTTCTCTCTCTCTCTCTCTCTCTCTCTCTCTCTCTCTCTCTGTGTGTGAGGGAGCGCGCGCGCGCGCACGTGTGTGTGTGTGTACAGGTCGCTGAAAACAATGCCGAGTCCAGAATGTCGCAATCTTCGTTTGCGCAGTTCTCAATTTCGAAAAATCAGCTGGAAAATCTGCCGCTATGCGCTGTGCGCGGCAAGTAGTGTTGATGCTGCAGGGCCTCGTTCCCATTGGCTGTGCCAGTCATAATGCACATGTCGACACATGTAAGGGACATTGCACACGCACGGATATGCCAGGCAGTTTCCCACCGCGACAGTCGGTTGTGCGCGCGACGACAGGGAAGGGATGCGGGAGTTGAGGCCGTCGTCATCGTCGTCGAGCCTCGAGATCTGTGATTGTTGAGTCAGGGGATTGCCGGAGTCGATTGCAGATTGGAAGAGGCGAAAGAGGAAAGGCGGTGGGAGGGATCAGGGACCGGCTAGCGCAACGATCGCTCGTCCGGGCTTCCGTCGATCGAGTTTAAAGGCGGGAGAAGCCGGTTAAAAATGTAGTCGATGCTCAATAAGGGATATATAGGATGCGTATCGGCAAGGAGTCAGAGTGAAAAGGGCCTTGTGGTCAGGGCGTTATCCGGACGACGTTTGCGTGCTCTGATCCTTGGATCTCGGCCCTCCCGCTCCAGCCCACGGTGACCTTCGTGATGGGCGACCATTACATCAGGTTAGGTAAGTACACTGTGGCCAAGCCCCCGACGACCCCCCGATCCGTCGTTCCGTTGGCATACGTACAGTTTCCACGGTGCGGACGTACGTATGACGCGAGCGTGCGCGGGGGTGGGGGGAGGTCCTGGAATTACGAGGAGCGCAGTTGTGCGGCAGTAGGCGATTTGTACTGACTGGCAGCTAGTTGACTTTGTAGGGGAATTTTATATTTTTTGGACTTCCCCAGCTGGCCATCGAGATTATCACGAACGAATGTATTATTCGCTACTGTTGACATTGTTGCGTATGTCGCTTCGGTATCGAGCACACTTTCATTTTTTTTCAATGTCATCCCGACAATTTTAATTGCAGCTCGGCTCTACGTGTACAGTTGGTTGCTGCAGTGTCCGGTGCTCGAGACGTTTTGACAATATTACGATTTGACAATACTTGATGGCTGACTCGTTGATGAAAATGATGTGCAAAGCTTGAAGCTTAATAGGCCATGTCGCAAACACCCACCGATAAAAAGAAAAAAAGTACAATAATATCGTTGTTTTGTTAATTGGAGGGAATTGTGTATTTATGATAGATTAATTTATAATTCGAGTTGCCTTTATCAGTTAAGAAAAAAATCTTGCTGGCCGTTTTTCTTTTGACGAGCCATAAAGCTTTATAATGTCACTATAATTAGCGGTCGTTTCAAAATGATTGTGTTAATTAATTTTTTAATCCGAGCGATTCGCGACACATTATTACGTGATATGCAATGCAAATGATTTTATTGACTTTTCAGAGAACTATGAGATGCTCAAAGCCCTTTATGACTTCAAAGCTACGTTTGCCAAAACGCTGAGCTTTCGAGAGAACGAACATTTTGTGTTGTATCAGAGCCAGACTAAAGAGAGAAATTGGTGGCAAGTGGTGAATAGCGAAGGTCAAGTTGGCTACATTCCTTCTAATTATGTTACGACGATTAAAGTACATCCTCAGTTTCTCATCGATTTTCTTGATAATGCTACGGAATGTTTGAGAGCTAACGGTGATAAACCAAACGTGTCACCTAATATGGACAAGCAGGATTTATTATTGCGCTTGATAGAGAAGAAACATCAGGCCGAGCTTGGTAGGAGACCTAAGAAGCAAGCGCCGTTACCACCTGACTTTGGAAGCACAACATCCGTTAAAGACTCGCCTACTAGTTTTAATAATGTAGAAGCCGAGGCTTTACCATCCAGTAGCTCACCAAGAAAGCGTTCATTAAGCGAACAGCGAAAGCAATCGCTCACCCGAGAAGCGCAATCCAATAATCAAATTCAGGTATTTTTTAATTTTCTTTATGAAAACTTACTTACGACGAGCTCTTAAATGTTTGATCAATTTATTAAACTTGCTCTTGTAATTATTGAAGCACAAAGATTCTCAAAGAACATCCTCGGAGTCTAGTCAAAAGAAAGAAATTGTCAAAAGTAATTCGCAAAGCAGCGTCAGACAATCGCCAAATCAATCTCCAGTGAAAAGCAGATCTTCCAGTTTAACGGATATAAATTCCAGAACAGCTTATTTGCTTTTGGATCAAGTACGTCACAGTACGCAGCTCAGCCATGAAATGTCAAAAGTAGCGGTGACCGTTGTACTTAGCGGACTACAAGAAATTTTGCCATCGAGTATGAGCCATTATTTTGATGCAATATTATCACAGTTACAAGTGCCATTAAATTTAACAAAATTAAACATCGAAGAAACTTACGATGCCAATAGATTAAAAATTATCTTTACCGAATTAACTTCTTGTAAAGAAGATTCGCAGCAAAGAAGTTGGATGCTCCACGAAGATGAGCCAACTATCTGTGAATATATTAAAGAGCTTACGTCAATATTGGTAATGTTAGCCGCTAACTCATTGTTAAATTAATTTCAGGATAAAATTAAATTAAATTAAAATTTTATATTAATTATTAAAATTAATTATTACAATAAAATTTATAACTATAAAGTTTCAGGAGTTTCTTCTAATTATTAAGCATTCAACTTTTTCCATATTTAACATTTTATTTTTTGCATTTCAAGTTTTGATTTCAATGTATAATAATTTCAAGCTGTAAAATTTATAATCGAATGCAATTTTCAGACTAATGCCGATGCCAATGTATCGAGGCATGTATTGGTACAAGATCAGTACGATGGTGTGTGCACGCTTATTCAGTACTATCAAATGGAAACAAGATGGACAATTAGGCAGCTTTTATTGCAATCTTTTGGGGTAATGTGTAGCTTGGATCATATTGTGCTGAAAATAATGTTAGAAAGTATCTTGCCCATGGAACTAGCAAGGTATATTAATGAAAAATTATTAACAATTCTTTATTTACACGTAGCCTCTAAGTATTCAATAACAATAGATAGTTTTAATGTAGGGATATGAAAAGTAATCCAAGAAATGTTGAGAAGCTCAATTATTCTTCGTTATTGTTGACAATGATCTTCTCCATGGGCGAACCAATGCCAATCACGCATTTTGGTATGTCTTATAATAAAATCACATATAAAGACTTATCGTTGAAAATAAATTATTAATAAAAATACGTGAAATGTATTTATTTCAGAGCAAGTGGGCACTGAATTTATATCATTTTTATTGGATCTTATTGAAAATCCACCGGATACCGATCTAGATGATCAAATACCCGATCAATTTGTAAATTTAATACTTTCTTATAATTTGCAATTTAACGCTTCGGATAATGTTATATTGGATGCATTAGGAGAACGAACAGTAGCTAAAATTTTTACAGAAAAGGTTCTATTTCTTCTGAATCGAGAAAGTATGTTACGTCAATGGAGCTATATTATCTACTCTTATTTATTGCTAAACGAAAGTCAATAATAAAATTAAAATTATATTACAGTCGATCCAGTACGGATATTTGATCATGAGCCAGCGCCACCGGATTCAGTTTTAAAAATTTTCATCGATTTATTTACTAGCGATGACACAGCCTCCTTATTCTATACTAATGATATCAAAGTCTTGATCGATATTATTTTAAGGCAACTTTTTGACATATCGCCTGGAGAAAAACGAAGACAGTATTTAGAACTTTGTCGTAGAGTATTAAAAATGGCAAGTTATAATGATCATCGACATCGATGCGATGATATTTTAAAATGCTTTACAAGGTATTTTTCACATTTTTTTTTTTTTTTCATCTTATGCTATCGTATTAAAATCACTATACAACTATATATATATACAACTATAAATCCCTAAATTTTTCATTATACTATGCTTTGCTGGCTGCTATAGTTAAACGTTTTCATTTTTTATAATTATCTGATAAGGCTTGCTTTAAAAAGTCTGTAATAATCATTTATTTTACTATGAAATATTTCTCACGGTATTAATGCAAATATTTTGTCCCTACATTGACGATATATAATTTACATAAGGTAATTTTGTAGTATATAAAATATTAAATGTTTTTGGAATTTTATTGAATATCTCAATTGTAAAAAACATATTTCAATAATCATTCACGAGAAACTGTTAAATTATTAATTATTACTTAAATTTCATTAAAACAATACTTGAGGTTCGATTGTTATCAAATTTAGTTAAGAAAACTTTTTGTGAAATAGAAGGATCTTACAAATAAAAATAAGCATAAGAATAAGGTAAAGAGAATTTTCGTACTAATGATAATATTAATTTGTTTTCAGAATATTCTGCGAAGAAACACCGGAAAGTCAAGATGATCAAAATCTTGTACGAGAGATTAGCAATGAATTTCCACATTTATTTAAAATGTGACCCCTACCCTTGCTTTCTCCCGATGAGAAAAATACCGAGGAAAATAACGAAACACAAAGTCTAGATTAATTAGATAATCGATTAGGTGAGATCGATAATAATTTATAAGCATATGTTATTGCACGAAATTGTTGAAATGAGCGCACAGGCATTTACCTGCAATCTGATGCAAAGAAAGTCCTTGGGGTGTCTACGTGATAAATATTACTCAAGTCCCTCCCTAAATATTTCGCTAAATTAAATAAACGAGTAAAGAATGAGAGGTTATAGGTTATATTACAATCCATTGGAAATAAGAAGAAGCTATATTATGTCGTTGGATGTAACTGACTATTTAATGAAGTCTAAATTTTAATGAAGATAAATCACTGTAAATATGACTATATAAAGCAAATATTGAAACTTATGTCATTCCGAAGTATAAGTCTAGAAAAATTTACGAGTCTGTTAAAATTAATTCATTAATTCGTTACGAAAATTATATTGACGCTTAAAAAAATTTAAATATACACTTTAAAGTCTATGATACAGGAATATATATATATATATATATATATATATATATATATATATATATATATACACACATTTTCATTTACCGTTATCTTTTCTATAAATATACATTTTAAATATATATATTTTTCTTATTTTTTTGCCATTAAATATTGAATGTAATACTTATACAATACAATCTAATTTTTAGCGATTTAATAATTATACAACTTTATTTAGAATTTAATAATAACTAATGAAAGAATTCTATTTTATGTACAATTTTCTATATTCTCTTAATAATCGCTATTGCAAATTTTAAAGTGGCTTCTTTTTTTTTTTTTTTTTTTTTTTTCTAAGCGTGTGTTATATATTAATCAGTCTAGTCTCTTATTCTCTCTGTGGCACAGAGTCTTTAAGCTTGAAAATAATTATAACTTTAACGTCGAGTATGAAATACGAGACATTAAATACGTTAAGTTTGTGTCTATTGTGACTTCCAATGAATTCTCGTATTATTGTGATCCTTAAGTTAAATATTATGCAAATAAAAAAATACAGAAAGCAAAGCGATTACAGAACAATTCTTTTTTCATCCTATCATGAAGAACTGATATTCATATATTAAATTATATAATTCGCATGCCTACATTCTATAAGATGATAAAGATTAATTGATGTTTAGTATTAAAAGAAATTATTTATGCTATTCTAAAACTACTTTTCATTAATTTCATTGTTGTTATCGCATCACATTTATGGATATAAATAATAAAAGTATTTGACGTTTCTTTATTTTACAACAAATATATTGAAATGATGTGCATCCTTATTGTTTTGAGAAAAATAAAAAATAAATAAAATATATATATTGACAATGCTTAAATTGCGCATAAATTATAAAAATTATATAAAGGAAAATACTTGTGACAATAATTAATTCATTTATTTATGACAATTCTCTTTCATTTCTCCAACATTTACCATTTACCAAATTAATTTGAATATGAATTTACTTGCTTTCACTATTCCGCTTAAAAAATATAAATAATTAAACTTTGCGAGGCTTGCTAATATAATTTGTCGGGTAAATCGTTATGCCATTATTTGCCTCTCATTATCGTGTGCACGCAAAGACGAGAGATAGCGAAGATATAAAAAAAAAATAAATAAATAAAATAAAATAAATAAATAAATAAAAACTTGTTTAGATTTATCTCTGACTTTTATTAACAACAATAAATACTGTCCATGAAAAAAAAAAATTCATTAGGCACCGCGTGAGAAGTTACGGTATGGTAAAAACTGTTTATTTTTTATTTTGCATTATAGCACAGATAATTGAGCTACATGCAGTGGCCAATAGCAATAATGTCGAGCCTCTACGCGAATCGTTGAGCCGGTTTCGTTCGCGACGTGTAAAATTAGAATTGGCCATGTTTTTTGTGTCGAGCCTCTGCAAAAGCACTTATATTGTAGGAAGATAATGCGCCTCCCCTATTATGTGTATTTTCTTTTTTTCTTTTTTGTTTATTTCCGTGTCATTTTGTTAAAAACATAAGCCGGGCGTGCAGGATTTATTCTCCAGTCATCATCTCCATGAATTCTGAAACAAACGATACATACACTTTAAAAAAAAAAAAAGTATTAAACTGCAATCATTTGAAAATTTGTCATATTTCATTGCATATTCACACACTTTAACCTAAATAGTTCTCTAGTACAAATTGACCTATTTAACACCTCTACACATTTTGTTTAATACACATATATAACCGGAGTATTTTAACTTGCGATACGTATTCTTAATGGCGACACTTTATAGTTTATGGAAATATAGCTCAACAGGTTTCGCTATGTCAAAGCGTTCAAAACTAAGTTATTTCAAATAACTATACTTTAGCATATTTGATAAACATTAATAGGTTTCGCTTCGCGCACAAAGCCGTTATTATAAGTATTTATAGTTTCGGATGTAAAGCAATCGCGTGTAGTATTTGAATTATTAGTTGAAAAACGGAATATAAATAAAGTCCAATAGCAAAGGTACAATTTCAATAAATCAATAAATTCTTGAAATACCAACTAAATTTGAAATAATATATACTCGGTTTTATGTATTTTGTCGAGTGCCATATTAACATTATTCGTAATTCGTATATAACGATACCGAGAATTTTTTAATTATCATAACGAATTGCTTTTACTATTTGTTAGGATTTTTTTTTTAAGAAGACTACGTCTCTATAGTGTTCTTGTCTCTTGTTTTTATTGTATTTCATTTTATTTTATACAATTAATAACGATGGGACATTTGTTTTAGTAAAATTGATATAATATAATGTCGAGTATAATGTCGAATATAATTGTTAATATAATGTCGACTTGACATTGATACTATAAATCGATCGCTCTTACCAATTCATTAATTAACAGTTTCGACGTGTCGATGATATATTGAGCTTATTTGAAATTAGTTTTCCATTTCAATGACATCGCGTCCGAGAAAATTCACTTTTATTGTACATTATTTTGCATTTCTTGTTCCCAATAAATCATAGATCAAAACAAGTGCAATCATCGCCTAAGGAGTTTCAATCTTTCTTCGATACCTGATTATTCTCACTAGTCACGTATAAAAGTTTCTTTACAAGCTTATCGATTCGTGCAATTGGTTTTCTTCCTAAAGTACATTCTAACTTAGTAAAAAAAAAAAAAAAAAAAAAATATATATATATAGTTAATATTGTTAATTGAACAATTTTTAAATTTATAAAATTTGTCGCTTTAATCGAAACATTTACAAAAATAAAGCAACTATTTCCTACACAATATCGATGGAATTGTAAACGAACGTTATACATTGGCCTTCTGCATTATAAACATCTACCACTTAAAGTAAATTTAACCATCCAAAATAAGCAAAGGTTATAATAAGAAATGAATATTTACTTGTATAATGCTCTATCGAGGTGAGTGTATTAAAACATTTATATTACGATTTTTTAAACAATTCATGTTAATCGATTGCTTCAAAATTTTAAACGTATTAAATTTAAATAATTTCAAATGTATACTAGTTTATAAGCTAGTGATTCGTTATTAAAAATTTTATAACCAACAGCTAATGCAGCTTAATTAATTAATTAATTTCAATATATATTACGTCACACGTTAAATAGAATGTACGATTAAAATAAAATTTTTAGATAGAACATTATTTTTAATATAATTCTTGATAGTGATAAAATATCTAGATAAGAAAATTACTTTTCTTCGAATAAGAAATATTTTTATTATTTATCGTTATTTCTGAAATAAAATATTCTCTTTAATAATCTTACGTAACCTGTATCAACCGCGTCAATTTGCAATCATTTAATCACTATAAAAAAAACTATGTAATTAGACGATACATATTGTACTACCAAACGATCAAAAATTTCGTTACCCTTAAAATTTTGTTACGCTTAAAATATCAAATTAAAAAATTTTATTTTTCAATTTAAATCTATAAAACTTACAGATTCATCTATAATATAAATGTATGTTTATGAAATGTCAAATAACTGATATTTAATCATTTAAAATGAACAATATTAGGCTGATGATTAGAATTTATTACAATGTATATATTACAATATGTTACATAAAATTGAATTAACACCGACGTTCGGTTAACAAAATAACTTTATATATATATATATATATATATATATATATATATATATATATATATATATATATATATGTATAAAAAAAAAAACAAAAACAAAAAACAAAAAAAAAATCTAATAATTAGCGCACAAAGTACTTTGTATAGATTAGCACTATCCATAATTTCATCTATAGCGTATAACATTAATAATAATATTGGGTGAAGAAAGAAATTAGGGAATTTTAAGGCGTCAATTTAATGGCGTAGGTATAATCATGTTAAAAGTTGGGCAGATTTGAAATGTGCTTGTAAATAATAATTGCAATTAGTAGAATGTTGGGCATTAAATCAGTAGAACAGTAATAGCAGTGACGAATTTGAGTACAATAAATTTTCAACGATTCGAATTGAATAAAATGAATGAAGCGCGAAAAGTGCTAAGTATAAGTATACGTATGATGCAGATCGTTGAGATCGACGCTCATAATGTTTTTATCTATAAAAATTTAATATAAATGCCTTTTCATTAATTTACACTTTATAAAAGTCAATAATGTATAAGAGATAATTATATTTTACATAATTTATTCCTGTCAATGTGTTCATTTCCATAAATAGCGCAAAGAATATAAAGATTCTTGCTTACAATATTGGTAAACCGCTGTTCCAGTTATTAAACATGTAAAAATAGCAATTTGAAAAATAGTCTTTATGAATAAATTTGGTTTGAAAGGGTAAATTTTAATAAGCTTGTTCCAATTTTTTTTAACATATAATAAGTTTTAATCTCTTGTGACAGGCTGACAGTTACAAATTCTAGTGACACGCGTTCGGTTCCATTATTATTGTAGAAATAGAGAGTTCCGGCATACATCCAATACATGTATATTTTCTATGTGTGTGTTAAATATGTGTGTTAAACACGTAGATGGAAATATCAATGATCGCACGCGAGTCGTTTCAATCACGAATTTTATACGATAAACTAGTTGACGTTAACTGAAAATCAATATTATTTGGACTTGACTGTATCGGTGCGTTTAATTAAAAGAAGAAAAAAAAAATTAAAGTATATGCGGAGTATATGTATAAATAAAATGATACTAATTAGCTTAGAAGATACCCAAAATTTTATTTAATCTCAGGTCTTTTAAATTCATTTTATATAAGTTTATTTTATGATGAATCTTTCTTATCGAAGGATCACTTTATTAATTTTTGTTAAGAAATTTTTTAATTAATACTCTTTATCTTTGTTTAATAATAATAATTAATTATGTTAATGTAATAAAAATTAGAGGATTATATGAGATCGAAAGCTGTAATGCCGTAAATTAAATTCAAGGATTCTATGGTAGAGGCTTTGATGAAAAAGATTTTTTACTTTTGGCGATTATGCATGACACATTGTATATTTCAAAACTGTATATTTATGATAAAACTTCATAGTATTATTATATAAAACAATTCTTTACTTCAATTATTAATTGTTTTAACAAGCTATATTGCATACAATTGTAAAATTGTACGTTTTTACAAATACTTGGCGACACAATGATTTAATAGTCACTTTTATCATATTTATAAATATTATAATTTCTTTCAATAATTATATTAATGAAACGTTGAAAATTATTTCAACTGCGTGTCGGTATTTATCTTTGTATTATTTAACTTTTTATATATTGCAAACATATTTACAAGTTTTCATTTCATTTGCTATTTATGTTTTTGAAATATTGCCGAAATCAGACTTTTGTGATTGATGATCGCCACATTTGTTTGAAATAATATATGCTTTTATTTTACGTATAAATAATATCATTTCGCTCATTCTAATATTGTAATGTAGGAAAATATAATTAAAAAAAAAAAAAAACTATTTAAAATAAATACTATTTGTATATATATCAAATTAAAATAATCAGGATTGTAATCGTAAAAAATTTCGATTAATTATATACGAATGTTGTTCTCACTTTTATGATAAATCACTATTAAAATGTTTGTTTCTTGTAAAATATTTCCGTCACGTTATTTAATACGTAGAGAAGTATTGTCGAAAACAGCTTCTTAATAAAATTAATAGCCATACATTTGATATTAAAGCCATAATACCAATAATATATAAGACCCCTATAAGGGATAAATTAAAAAATATGTGCTTAGTATTAGGTAGGGATTGAGTTAAAAAAAAAAAAAAAAGAAAGAAAAATATGATATACTCTAAAATAGGCAAAAATACAATGTTAATACAATATTTTAGAATTCAAGAGTTTAGAATGAAACAAGGAATGAAATTTACTCTAAATGAATGTGAACAATAATTTTTAACAATTGTTTGTGTCGGTTAAAAAAGGAGCTATGAAAGTTTTAATCGAATGGTATAAGTAACGTCTTATGTCAAGATATTGTTTAAACATTTTATTGTTTGAAATTGATTTCTAATTTAAAATGAAAATAATTTACATCTCACAATTAAAAAATAATATCAATATCTATTACCTAATATTTAAATACTCTTATTTAAAATATAAATTGCTTAAAAATTATTCATTTTATATTATTATTATTATTATTATTACTAGTATTATTATTATTATTATTATTATTATTATTATTATTATTATTATTATTATTATTATTATTATTATTATTATTATACGACCACGCATTGTCTGAATATTGTAATAAATTTTGCGTTCCAATAAACTGCAACGATCCAGTATTATTGCAACACAATACATAGACTGTTAATAAGAAAAGAAGAAAAAAAATGATTTCTCATTGAGCAGCGTTTCTTAAAAGCAAAAAACTTCTTTTTTCCTTTGTGCTTAGAACGATAAAATCCCGAATACTAATTGCCTATGAAAACATATCGAATGGTTTTGTTTTCGTGATCGACATCTATATGACTTTTGTTGGCAAAACAGTTAAATCGCCAAACACTTGCCAGAGATTTCGACAGTACTTGATATGTCACCGAGAATTGCTTTATCACGCAGCCAGATCTCGTGTTTTTATTGCAACGCGAGATTAGCATTCATCTTAAATGATTAAAGCCTCGGAACAAAACACTCATTTGTTGAAAATTCTACGACGATGCGCGTGGATCATTTATTGTCAAGTATTTGTATGAGAAAATTGTGAATATAAAGCAACCTTACATTTATAATGCGCACCCGTTCGCTTCAAGATAATTGATGTCGACAGTGCCGATCCCCGAGAAAATGTATCCAGCCAAGCGTGGCCTGCGGTAATCTCACTCATTACCGCTATTACGCTCATATTCCTCTAATACCTATAATATACTTTATAATCCCCATATAAATCATTGGTATCGAAAATAGTATCGAAAATATAATAATATAATAAATATAATATAAAAATAAAATAAAAAAAATATCCAAATTCCCCCCCCCCCCCCCCCCCCCCCCCACCCCCCCCCCCCCCCCCCCA